TCAACTGGAGAAAATATCAAGAAAGGGCCCTGGAAGGGGTTTGCGTGATGTTCTCAGGGGACCTCATCCCCCTGCTTGCCTATCACAGAGGGCTCTGGAGGAGGCCCAGTCCCTGGCCAAGGCCTGGTCATAGTGGGAGAGAGAGCTGTAAGGCTGGGAAGCAGCAGGGGTGCCACTTGGCTTTGGAGCAAGCCTGGCTCTCATTCTGGTAGGGGTTGTCACAGTGGGTCAAAGGCCGCCTTCCTCCTCAGTTGATGGCAACGCCTCAAATCCGTGAGCACGCAGAAAAGCACTTTGTGGCCTGCTCCTCTTTGGAGATGTCGGGGGCTGAGCAGTTTCCATGAGGGCACCACTTCTGCAGATCCTCAAGAGGGAAGGGGCGGAGCAGGATGTGGGAGCTGAGAGGTCCTGGGAGGCACCCTGCTGGGGAGGACACTGCTCCCTCACTCCTGCAGTCACAGAGAGAGGGGATTCCTGGGCCGCTCTAGCAGTTCTAGGAAGGCAGGAGGGAACCCTCTGCCTGCCCCTGGCCCTCTGCTCACTGTCCACCCAGAAGGAACTGAGCATGCACCATCACCTTCCCTGCCCTGTGGAGCAGCCAGGTCCAGGCCAGCCACCGCTCCTCCTAGGTAGGGCTCATGGCAGCTCTGCCCTGGGGAAGACCTGCAGCGACTTTCACTGTGGGTGGGAGCTCGGCCTTCTAAACTCTCAGGTGAGTTTTAGCCACCGTCTGGCTCAGCTCCACTGCGTATTCTTTCTTTGGTCTTATCAGTAAAAAAATTCTGGCCTTTCACTCTCATTTAACTGTCTCCAGGGCTCTGTTTCTTAATTGATTCTAAGCTTGAGAATGGCAAGAATAGTTACTGAAAACCTCTCTAAACCTAAATATTTTCCAAGGTAGGAATATAGCATTCTTTTTTTTTTTTTTACAAGACTTATTTTATTAAACTTTATTTTATCTATCTATCTATCTATCTACCTACCTATCTGTCTTAATTGACCAGAGAGGGAGGGAGGGAGGGAAGGAGGGAGGGGGGGAGAGAGAGACAGAGAGAGAGAGAGAGAGAGGAGGGAGAGGAGAGAGAAGTTGGGAAAGCTAGCTACCAGGTCCCGGACTTGAACTGTAGTCAGCCATGTGGGAGTCCAGTGCCCTTAATCACCAAGCCACCTGCCGGTCCCAGGAATACAGCATTCTTAGCTGTATGACCCTTTTGAACTCTTCAAAGAAACTATACATGATTTGATAAGGAAGCAGAGGCCAACTAAAAATCCATTCATTCTGCTTGTCACAAGCTGAGTGGCATAACATGTATATGCCTTAGAAGACAAGTAAGGGAGCAGCAGGTGGCGTTGTGGTTAAGGTGCTGAACTCCCACAAATGTGGTTCGAGTCCCAGACCTGGAGGGCTCAAAATCACGCCAGGTGTATGTTGTGTGTGCCCAAAATCCTGAGAGGAGGCTGGAGAAGAAGGGATTATGGTGCGGTCATCTTCCCTGGGGTGTGTGTGTGTGTGTGTGTGTGTGATTTCTCATTTCTCCCCTCTCTACCTCTCTGTCTCTGCACACACCCTATGACAAAAACCTAAACAAAAAACGATAAACACATTGTTACTGAGTTTTGTTTGTTGACAAGATATCTTTTCATTAGAGGGTCCAATCTGGGACGAGGTAGAGTGGTCCTGGGTGTGAAAAAGCTGTCTCTGGTAGCCTTTAGAGTGCTCAGAGCTCATCTCTCTTACTGCCCAGTAACCCTGGTTGGGACTGTCCATCACTGGTCCCTGTCTGTCATTCTGTCCCATGGGGTGGGGGTGGGGGGGGCTGAGGACTATTTATCTCACACGCGGCATGCCTCAATATATGGAATAAACAGATGCGTGATGAAACAGTAGAACAGCTCCTCCAAGGCTGAACCCCGCTTCCCACCCCACCTGGCTACAGAAACTCGTGCCTTGACAGTAAGCTCCTGTCTCTCAGACCTCACTGCGGAGCTGCCATCTGAGGGTTCTGCAAAGGCCATCCATAGGGCTTCCTGCCACCCCTGGAGCCTCCCTGACTAGCTGCTTGGTACCATCCTGGCAAGGTGGAGAGCACCATGTGACATTCCAACAGTCTCCATCCCCACCTGCAAGCTAAGTGATCCTAAAGATGAAACCCACAGAAATGCACACCCACGGCCAGGGTTTCCAGAGGTTCACTTGCACTGTTTGGCTAGTGGAAATTACTTTGCTAGGTTGTGCCCACTTTAATAGACACAGAAACAGCCAAGTCCTGCCCAGTGAGGGAGCCGGTGTGGGCACCAGGTGAGACAGCCTGGATTTCTGTGCTGGCTAATGGCCCTGGGTGAGTGTCTTCAGGACTTTCAATTCCAGCTCTGGGTCCAAGAATGGGGCTAATCACCTCTTCTTCAAAGGGCTAGGGTAAAGATGACAGAAGATTGCAGGGGAGGGTCCATTGTTTTCTAAGAAGTGAGTGGATGCCACATGCAGGGGTGGCAGGAAGTCCTACAGGCCTCCACGAGCGGTTTAGGTGATGCGTGATGAACACTTAACAATTTTTGCGGCCCTAGAAAGAAACCGGACTAGTACCTCAAATCTACGATTTACCACCGTCATAGCTTAAGATGAGGCTAACGTCGGTATGGGTGTCAGGTGTGAGTTTATTTAAATAAAACAATCAAGTAAAAAGCCAGCACGGATGATAGGAGAGTGTGGCAAACATTTTCAAAACTGAACTCAAAAGGCAGTTGGTTGGGAGGGCCGTGAAGTCCTTACAACTCATTCCTGTCAGCAGCAGGTGCTCTAGAAATGCTACCTGTTAGGGTCTATGGCCCAAAAAACCAGGCGCCCAAGAAAGACTAAAGGACACTTCGGTGGGGTGGGGTGGGAGGTGGGGCAAAACTGGAAAGAGTTAAAGAAAGGGGTCTGCGGTTTCTGTGCCCCATCCCCCCTGCAGCTAATCTGTCACCTAATGAAGAAGGGGCCGGCACAAGTGAGCTAGCTGGCAGTTCACTTACAGCACACTGATTAAGAATGTTCAACCAACAGCAGACTGTAGACCTTTCCAGAGAGAGTAAATAGAGTGTAGACTGTATGCAAATGTGTTTGTCACTTTGACAGCACGTCTCAATTAAGGCATCTCGCGGCTGTGGGTAGGCTCTGCGGCTGCAGCTGGAAGGGAGAGCCCGCTGCATCGCTGATACTAGGGGCTTGACCTTAATCCGCATGCATGCATTAAAAAAAATCCTGCCTTCCTGTACACTTGCATAATGCTGGCAGCCACGTGAGGGAAGTGACAAACGGGGAAAAAAAGCCACTTTCATCCTCTCCAGTTTGCAGACCTGTGAAGGCACAGACAGCTCTTATTTCAACAGAGTTTGGGGTGGCTTTTTTAATTGTTTATCCCCCACTCGCACACACACACACACACACACACACACACACTTATTCTGTATTTAGCTGGAAATGACATTAAAGCATCTCTACGTCTTGCTGAAATGGAAAGAAGGTCTTTCTCCATTTCAAATAGGGCCTCCTTTTTTTGTGTTTCGAAAATGGAATGTTTAACACCATGAAATCCCTCTCCCCCACCCGCTCTTTCTCTGTAATGGGCTCCAAACTCCAGCGAGGGGCTCCTTTCATGGGAAGGCTCGTGTGTGCAGGAATGAGGACAAAGGGAAGCAGGAAGCTGACTCTGGAATGCCATGCTGGTGACGACCAGGGGCTGTGCTTTCAGCACACACAGCCAAGAAACTGGGGTGCGGGCTTCTGCAGCAGGGCCTGGGCTGGGGAGCAGGCAGCTCTTCAGGGATGCAGACACCAGTACTGGTGGAGGATCATCATTAACCAAATGAGCACTGCCCCATGGACGCTTCTTTCTGGGACTACATTTCAATTTTTATAGCATCCCTTTTAAGTGTAAAATCAGAAAAGAGGGTGAACCTCCCCAAGTTAAAGATGTGCCAACGTATTATCTGAAAACATTGATTAGAAAAGAATGATTCTTATGCTCCAACCAATCCATTCCTTACACTAATAATCCATAGCAGCAATTTGGTTAGTTCTCTTCCTTTCTAAATAGCTCAGCCCAATATACAGGAGGCTCTTGATAAATGACAGTTAAAAACAGGAATATTTTGAATGTAGGCATCTAGATCCTTTGTGTGATGAAACAGCAAACACATTTACGATAAAAATCAGAAAGACATGTTAATCATACATCATCTAATGAACGGCTCAAGAATCAGGTGATTTAAGGACAAATTGCCTTCTGAATTCTAGTTACATCCATATCTAACAGAGCCGCTCCTCATGCCTTCCCCTCCCCCAAGTCTTTGGCTAATCAAGAGTCAATTTAAGAGAAGCAGGGGAGAGGATACAATCTTTTCAACCAAAAATGTAACCACGAATAGAAAATGGATAAAAAAAAATTAGTTTCTATACAGAGTGCAATGTTTTTTTACTTAAGGGAAAAGAATCAAACAGACAATTTTTCAAATGCTCAGGTCACTGAAAATGGTTAAAGAATCAGATCTTTGGAGTCGTAGTGCGGGTGTTTACTCTGAGAAGCACGACTCTCGATATTGATTTTCAGGAAGTACATTAATAAAGAAGTCCTAATTGATTTTTTTTTTTTTTTTTTAAGATTTCGCTTGTTGCCTTTTACTTGAAGGTGCAAAGAAGGGCCTGGGATGCTAAAGTGTCCTAATGAGATGCTTAGCTAACAGAGGCACCTTCAACGGAGTGCCTCGGACTGGGGGAGGCTGCAGCTGCATTTCATGACATCATTCGATAGTTGAGCTAGCTGATGACAGAGCCAGGCTGTCGCCTAAATTTTTGAAAATTCACCTTCAAAACATGTTTGTACCAAATAAACATTTGAAGATGTGGAAAACTCCATAGAGTAGCTTTGCCAAAGGACAGCTGAAATGAACTGTCTGCTGAGAGTGCTACAGTTTCTGCTAAAGACAAAAACACGGACACCAAACAGACTGGGAAAACATACCTGCCCAAAGTGGACTGTGATTGGCCTCCGGTCTTCTCGGAGCCTGGGGTCCTTGGCCCCTGCCATGGGAGAAGGCACAGTCTTTGGCAGCTGTTCGTCTGCGGTGGGAGCACAGCCATTCTCGGCGATGTCCTGTGGGGAGAAGTACAGTCGGGGGGTTGGTTTTGGGGTCCTGGCATCTGTGCTCCTTCACATCCCACAGCTAAGAGGCCTGCCACAGAACTCGCTCTGGGTCATTCTGGGCCATTCCACTCCTGATGATGGAGACAACGGAAGGCTGACTTGGCCTTTGACCTCTAAGGACCAGAGAAACCAGAATCATCCATGTGAAATTACAAAGGTAACATTCACAAGAATGAGAAAAAAAAATCATCTTTCATCTGACTATCTCACAGGGCTATTTTCCTTTTTACATATTCACTTTGTCCACATGCAAACATTTAAAAATTACTTGTCATCACAGCTCATGCATAATTTTATATCCGGCTTCTTTCCC